ATTTTGGCGGGATTTTGGCTATATTTATTCAAAGGAGGCTTTTGCGTGTATCTTTACAGAAGCAGCAAAGAGAGCCGCTTCAGAAACGTGCGTGGCGCGGCTGGAATAAACCATAGACTGTATAAAAATATAAACACAAGCACTGAGTGGCCGCAGTCAGATTCAGTGACCGTATCAGAGCCACAGTGCACCGCAGACGTGTGCAGTGTAAATTGTCTAAGCATTAATGGTAGGGAAAGCCCCTTATACTGGAGCGCGGCCACGTATGAAGTGTTTCTTGGAGGTTATAGTACATTGAAGAATGATCATATGACTTTTTACATGCGCCATGTGACCTGTAAATGCGAAAAAGCCGTTTCCATTGCAGTTTTGCGAATTATTCCTTTTTCGCATTGCCTGAAAAACCACCTCATGCGAGCGTAAAAACTTTTTTGCGATATATGGGCGTTTTTGCGAAATTGACGCGTTTCCATTAGGCGTATTTTCAATTCGCAATTTCAATTTGCGCAATTTGAAGGGTAATGGAAACGCGCCTAGTGTCTCATTCAGTGAAATTATATAGAGATGTCAATTTATTGGAATGTATTTTTTTTTATCAGTCACAGCTGTAGAAAATACATGGTTGTATTTTATTATTTGCATTTAGCACTGTTTTTCCCTGCTTTCCGTGGCCGTATCTGAACAGGCACGGGTCACGACCTACCAGTCGAAAACCACAGTTCAACAGTAGATCTTTGTTGTTTACTTGACATTCAAACAGGTTCACTGCAGATCAACAAGGAAACAAACTGCGTACTGGGTGGATTGTAGAATCCACACTATTGAGTATGAAAAATGAATCAGTTTACCTTGATTGTGGGTTTCTTGGTGGAAAATCCTCGGTACCATCCTGTAATAGACAAAACAGAAATGTCAACTGAGAAACACTGAACATTCTAATAATAATAATAATAATAATAATAAATGAATTACCCCAAAATCAGACTGAAACAAAACAATTAACATGTGACGTAACATAACCAGTATGCAATGACCCCCCCCCCCAAAAGAAAAATCCCAGACATAAAAGAACTGTTCAGGTGAAATACATCTCACAAAAATTGCTATTCAGATGAAATATCATAGGCATTCAATAAATGTGTTCAGTTGAAATGTAGCATTCCCTATGGTCAAAAGGGACATTCAACGTGTATTTGGGGGCATCTTACTCAACCGGGTGTCCTGGCCCATTTAGTTTTGTACATCTGTAATATGCACCCATGAAATATATATCCAAATGTCAATTCGTTTTTTTGTCAACATACTTAACTGTATGCTGCATGCACACATACACTTGACTTTTTGACTCTGAAAAGGTACTTCACTGCGTTCCTAATGCATCGAATCGCATTTTCACAGCAACTATGCTGTCTTGAAGGCCATATCTTTTAGATGAGGTGGAACACTAAGGTCTGGGCCATCAATTTCACTGGCTGATGTCCAGAACATCTCTGAAATATTCTACCTCCCTGCAGAACCCCACCAACATCATAATAAGCTTTCATTCCATAATAAACGAGCTCAAAACATTCAAATCTTAAGTCTCTGCACAGTATGTCACCCTATTATTACAGTAAGAAAGCCAGCTGTTAGCAATGGAAGCCACATAAAGGGCTACATAACGACACATTTAATCATGACTAAATAGTCACCTAGAGTAAAAACACTTCTTTTTTTCTACACTGCTTGTACAGCAAGGCTTTTTATAACCTTCTCAAACCAACTTTTTAATGATTAAGATGAAGAGCACACATTTGAATGTGGTAAAAGACTTTCACTCATTGGTTGATTTCCCAGAACAGTATAAACACTGAGGCAAATTCAAAACATTGCTCTGTTTGTTTGATCATTCTGACCAGTCCTACAAAGCAACAAGAGATCAACCAATGGCGTGAATTTAGGGCGGGACTATCTTATCAATGATAAATGAGGGGCATGTTCAGGAAAGTTGTTTGAAACCATTTCATTGTTTAAATTCTCTTTGGTCAAATTACAATGTATAAATCATCTAACAGCAAAGTTAAATTATGCAGTCTTAAGATTTTGTTATCAAAATAGAAGTTAAGTATTTAGTTAGGCAAATAAAAAACATGGAAACAAGACATTTTTTATACAATCACTGCTGATGGACACGGTTTTCTGGGGATAAGCACATTAAAAATGTTGAAGGTCATACAACAAATACTGCAGGTACGGTAAATAAACTGTAATATAACATTATGTGTTAAAGTATGAATAAAGTGTACACCAAAGAATTTACATTAAAAACTTATAATTTCACCAAATACTGCAAATACATCTTTATATGTACTTCACCAATTTCTGTCCGTTTTATCACACTCTTATTTTGTCTGGAAAAAAATAGCCTTGGACACATCATCTACCAAATTATTCCTTGGCTTTTCACTGCTTGAGTATTTTTCACTTAATTAGAGCATAAATAAACGGTGCCTTCCCTAAAGCTAAATCATTAGCTATTAGCAAAGACCTATTATGGCAAAAATTCATGAGCAGCAGCCCTGATTATAGCCCAGCCACTAATATCAATCCCTTTCTGAAGAAAAATGCCACAAAGCGGGTGTTCTGTATGGTTGCCAGGGTGTTGCTATGCAGTTGCTAAGGTGTCTTGAGTGATGTTAGCATATTGCTATGCCAATAGGTGTTCTGGGTAGTTGCCAGGGTGTTGCTATGCAGTTGCTAAGGTGTCTTGAGTGATGTTAGCATATTGCTATGCCAATAGGTGTTCTGGGTAGTTGCCAGGGTGTTGCTATGCAGTTGCTAAGGTGTCTTGAGTGATGTTAGCATGTTGCTATGCCAATAGGTGTTCTGGGTAGTTGACAGGGTGTTGCTATGCAGTTGCTAAGGTGTCTTGAGTGATGTAAGCATGTTGATATGTCAATAGGTGTTCTGGGTGGTTGCCAGGGTGTTGCTATGCAGTTGCTAATGTGTTTTGAGAGATGCAAGCGTGTTGCTATGTCAATAGGTGTTCTGGGTGGTTGCCAGGGTGTTGCTATGCAGTTGCGAATGTGTTTTGAGAGATGCAAGCATGTTGCTATGCTAATAGGTGTTCTGGATGGTTGCCAGGGTGTTGACATGCTGTTTGTTAAGGTGCCTTGAGTGATGTCAGCATGTTGCTATGCCAGCAGGTGTTCTGGATGGTTGCCATGCTGTTGCAATGCAGTTGCTAAAGTGTCTTCAGTGATGCTAGCATGTTGCTATGCCAGCAGGTGTTCTGGATGGTTGCCATGCTGTTGCAATGCAGTTGCTAAAGTGTCTTCAGTGATGCTAGCATGTTGCTATGCCAATAGTTGGTATCGGTGGTTGCCAGGCTGTTGCTATGCAGTTGCTGAGGTGTCTTGAGGGATGTAAGTACGTTGCTATGCTGATACTACAGTGTTCTGGTAGGTTGCCAGGGTGTTGTCATGCTGTTTGTTAAGGTGCCTTGAGTGATGTCAGTATGTTGCTATGCCAGCAGGTGTTCTGGTTGGTTGCCATGGTGTTGCTATGCAGTAGCTAAGGTGTCTTGAGTGGCATTACCATGTTGTTATGCAGATACTAGGGTGCTCTGGGTGGCTGTTATGGTGTTGCTATGCAGTAGCTAAGGTGTCTGATATGCCCATACTAGGGTGCTCCACATGGTTGCCAGTGTGTTGCTATGCTGTTTGTGAAGGCCTCTTGAGTGATGTTATCATGTTGTTATGCTGATACTAGGGTGCTTTGGGTGGTTGTCAGTGTGTTGCTATGCAGTTGCTAAGGTGTCTTGAATGATGTTAGTCTGTTGTTATGCCAATAGGCTATTAAGGTATTCTGTATTGTTGCCTAGATGTTGCCATGCTGTTTGTTAAAGGGGTCATATGACATTGCAAAAAAAAAAAAACATTATTTTGTGTATTTGGTGTAATGCAATGTTGCTCCTCTATGCCCCGCCCTTCTGAAACGTGTCCATTTTTACAAAGCTCATCGTTCTGAAAAGCGCTGTGTGCTCTGATTGGCCAGCTATCTAGCGCATTGTGATTGGCCGAATTCCTCAAGAGTGTTATGCAAATGTTACGCCCCTTACCAGGTTCAGGAAACTTTCCTCCGTAAAATGTGCTGCACACACTTGAATATTTGGGTTGTACTGTTCTGGAACAGTGTTGTAAATAAAATGTAACCACTGATTTCTAGTTGTGTCCTCATTTGGAAGACCAAACTAAGTAGTTCGGCTTTCGCAACGAAACACACAGCGTCTCCACGATATGGCGGCAGCAACAAAACTACAGCGAGAATAAAAGTTACACCTTCTTTCTTTGCGTATACATTTGGGCGGCGTTATGCAAATCTTCCCACACAGTGACGTAGATATGTGGGGGCGTGTTTGAATGAGGCGTTTTAGGAAGGCATGGCTGAGCATTCACTTTCATAAAGAATATCTCTTTGGGTTTGAGACTTTAATCTTTGCGACTTTACAGATCTTCTGTATGCACAAACAGCTTGTAACACTCAAAAGACAAAGGAAAACATGAAATTGCATCATATGACCCCTTTAAGGTGTTTTGAGTGATGTCACCATGTTGCTATGCCAATACTAGGGTGTTCTGGATGATTGCCAGGGTGTTTCTAAGCCATTGCTAAGTTAAACTGTGGGATGTTAACATGTTGCTATGCCAATACTACTCATTACTCATTTTACTACCCACTTAGCAATATTAGCATATTATTTCAAAAATGTAAAAACACTCTTCAGTATTCCACAATTTAATATGCAGGCCAAGTTACAAGTCAAAATGTAATACTTTGGGTTAAGAGATTGCTCAGATTTCCAACTTTTAATAATAATAGTGATGCCTTATCAAACCCAACTAACTGTGTGATGGTGGGACATTTGGACTATTTGGATATTTGGAGATAATCTGTGAAAAACAGGAAGTGAAATTGTTGGTGTGTGATGCAGTCGTTAATGTAGCCATTTGTAAACAATCTGCTGTGACAACTGTGGAAAATATTCATAAGCTTGGCTGCTAATGTCGCTCACACCTGTGGCCATCTGTCTCGAACGCAACCCAGACTCTGCCGCATTAATCATGGCAGTCTATCTTTGTTAGTATTCTCCCCAGGTGCATCTTGAAAATGGAGGAGGTGCACTTTGTAATTACCTATTTGGTTTATGCAAGGAATGAGCGGGCCACGTCAGTCAAGGTTAGCCGTTTCCATTGTCACTTTCTATTTAGCACCAAAACGAGCGATGCTATTAGCTAATGAACAACATTTGGACGAAGGGTCTTGTGTCAGGTTGTGTGACATAAATTGGCATTGCTGTATAGGATCCGCATGAGTGTCAGTACATTTTTGCGTATTAGCAATGTGGAAATGGTTTTGCCGTTAGCTTGCTACAAGCTGATGCACAGTAGCTAGTAAACAAGATGATGAGGTCTTCTCTAGAGAAGAATCCAGAGCAAGACAACCACAAAAATTTGTCAGTGTCGTATACAAACAGTATTTGGAAGTGTTTGTGCTAGAGGCTGACTGTAGGCATTAGCTGTGATAGATTAGCAGACGGCTCATGTCTGCTGGCGTGAGACTTCCATGTGGACATGAGGAAACTCAGCATCAACACACAGCTGCCAACAAACAAACAAACACCTGATGAAATGTGTCATCTCGGTCTGTGTCTCTCAACAGGTGTAGACTGCAGGGACTTGTTGAGCTGTCAGATTGTTCATGTTCACAGCTGTGATGGTGACATGTCTATCTCAAGAGGTTTTGCTCTTTAGAGTGCCACACCCTTTGGGATTAATAGTAGACAACTACTGTCTGTCTGTCTGTTATCTACATGTCTGTCTATTGGTCTGTCTACATATCTACTACATACTGTATCTGCCTGTCTGTAAATATATCTATCTGTCGATCTAGATATGTCTGTCTGTCTATCTGTATATCTATAATATCTATGTATACCTACCTGTCAGTCTGTATATCTACCTGTCTGTAAGTAGTTCTACGTTTGCCTATCTATATATCTATCTATCTATCTATCTATCTATCTATCTATCATATATGTCTGTCTGTTTTTCTGTCTGTCTATCATATATGTCTGTCTGTCTGTCTGTCTGTCTGTCTCTATCTATCTATCTATCTATCTATCTATTAAATATATATGTCTGTCTGTCTGTCTATCTATATATATATCTGTCTATCTATCATGTCTGTCTGTCTGTCTGTCTTTCATGTTCACAGCTGTGATGGTGACATGTCTATCTCAAGAGGTTTTGCTCTTTAGAGTGCCACACCCTTTGGGATTAATAGTAGACAACTACTGTCTGTCTGTCTGTTATCTACATGTCTGTCTATTGGTCTGTCTACATATCTACTACATACTGTATCTGCCTGTCTGTAAATATATCTATCTGTCGATCTAGATATGTCTGTCTGTCTATCTGTATATCTATAATATCTATCTATGTATACCTGTCAGTCTGTATATCTACCTGTCTGTAAGTAGTTCTACGTTTGCCTATCTATATATCTATCTATCTATCTATCTATCTATCATATATGTCTGTCTGTTTTTCTGTCTGTCTATCATATATGTCTGTCTGTCTGTCTCTATCTATCTATCTATCTATCTATCTATCTATCTATCTATCTATCTATCTATCTATCTATCTATCTATCTATCTATCTATCTATCTATCTATCTATCTATCTATCTATCTATCTATCTATCTATCTATCTATCTATCTATCTATCTATCTATCTATCTATCTATCTATCTATCTATCTATCTATCTATCTATCTATCTATCTATCTATCTATCTATCTATCTATCTATCTATCTATCTATCTATCTATCTATCTATCTATCTATCTATCTATTAAATATATATGTCTGTCTGTCTGTCTATCTATATATATATCTGTCTATCTATCATGTCTGTCTGTCTGTCTGTCTATCTATCTATCTATCTATATATATATATATCTATCTATCTATCTGTCTATCTATCATGTCTGTCTGTCTGTCTGTCTGTCTATCTATCTATCTATCTGTCTGTCTGTCTGTCTGTCTGTCTATCTATCTATATATATATATACTGTATATCTGTCTGTCTGTCTGTCTGTATCTAACTGTATGTCTATCCTACCTGTTATTTTCTATTCTAGCTCTTTTCAAAGTCTAGAGTATACTAAGTCTGCTTTTTTAAAACTTCAGTGTTTGACTGGGGCTGTTTACAGTTAAAAGGAAACTCCCAATTAGCATAAACAGTCAAATATCCTGTCAAGTCTTCAGACACACTGTTCTCCCTCAAGTTCCCAGTGGATGACACTGCAAAAATCTTCAGTTCTCAAAACAGAGCAGTCCAATCAGACCACTGGCCACTGCAGGCCACCGCGACACTCCAGATCCCAGAGCTTTGAAAAGCTTCGATTTTTCAGGCATCCATTACCTCAAAAGCATGGCACTGCAGCAAAACAATCAATACGTACAACAAACTGCTAACCCCATGAATCAGAGGACTGATTATCCCAGCCTTAGAGGCCAAAGCCAAAACGCTCACCTCACCTGGTGACCCGCGGCTAATCCACTGCCCAGCACACACAATCTGTCTATCCATACACATCCAGTCCTTCAGAATGTGCAGTGAAGCATATTTTCAGATTTTTGTCATCATTTTTTCACCCTGTTGTTTCAAATCTTCTTTCTTGTTTTCTTTGAACATGAAATGAGAAATTTTGAAGAATGTTCAAGTTGCTATTTCCCATATAATGAAATTAGACTGTGATTTTTACTATCAAGCACCAAAAATACCCTCTATCTGTAACTGCAGTCCTAAAAAAATCTGAAACCAACTTTACAATAAGCAAAAAAATTGCTCCCAAGACGACTTAAATTCACTTTACCAGTCAAACAACTGAGGTTGAATTGCAGAGTTTTATGTTTTGCCACTCTTGCAGACTGAAACATATTTCTTCCTCCTTTAAAAGGCTGTATTTCACTGGCTGAGGTACAATGCGGCATGCATCTCTCACTCTTTGCCTGCGGGCTCTGAATATCAGGCTGTAGCCATGACCATTGGCAGCTCTTGGAAACGAGCATTTTTTATTACTGACCTTTAAACTGCGACACTGAAATTGAGCCACTTTTCTTTCAGGACCCAGAGGGGGATAAAACGAAAATCTATGAAAACTCTGTTACCTGGAAGCGAATTTGTGCATTGTATTTCTAAATTACATTTAAATTCAAATTGTATTAACATGCTGACACATGTTTGCAACCTTTTTTTCCAATGAGACTCATAAAGAGAGAAGTCAACACAATACATTTTCGTAATTCACTTCACATAGTAGTTTTTCTAAATTTATTTTTAATTTTTTGGGAATTTTCTTCAAAATACTGCTCAATATACAGAGTTCTGGCATGAAACTCTAGATGGCGCAGTCCGATAGGTCTAACTCAGTCTGACCTAATGACATCATTATCACATGGCACAGCTGATTGGTTCTCTCTTGTATCGGTAGCCAATGAGCTTGCTGCTCAACATTCAAATATATGACTAGTTATAGCAGTAGCAGTTGCAGCTTGCTTCAGAAACCCTCCACCTTCCCCAGCTCCACCTGTATAGATCTGCTACGAGGTGATCATGTACGCTATATGGGGGTTATTTCATGTATGTTATATTTGCAACAGCAATATTTCTTACATGTTTACAGCAGCATGTTGTGGATGCATTGGCAGTAGCAAGTCTCGGTACTTGCTCTGCTGCACCAGCAGCAGCGTAGCAGATCTATTCCGTCAAGACCAAATACATGAACATTTTCATGTACATTACCATGCCAATCCCTCCGAGAGTTGTCATGACAGAACTATAGTTCAACTTATGGGAAAGAAAAATTACAAAACTTACTAACTTTTTTCACCAAGACACCAATGAGTCTTGTGCTTAATTTTCCTGCTTCTCCAAGTTTGGAAAAATAAAATAAAATAAAATGCAAAAAATTTATTTTTATTGATTTAGTGATGTTTAAGCCACTTCCTGATATCTAGAGATCTCAAAAATTTCTCAAACTGACTTAGATCTACCAAGAAACCAAAGTTTGCAAATAGAAGTCAAACAATAGATCAGATTTCAGTATGAACTTTTCCATTAAATTCTTTCAAGACCAAATGATCTGAATGCAGGACTGAGGTAACGGTAGCCTACAGCTAGCTAATAGTGCTGTGGTGCAAAAAGTCAAGAAATAAAACCAAACTTATAAAACCTCTAACTTTGAAGAAGCTTTAGTCTACTTAAAGTCTACCTGATTCTGAATATATGCTAATCAAACATGCATTACTGCTCTGAAGGCTGAAATACAGTTACATGATGACCCTAGAGGCGCCCTGAAAATCTGTGTTAGAAAAGTCTCTCGGTTACATTTAAGTATTCAGAATTATTCTGGTACCAAAAGTAAAAACTGCCGGCAGCACAAGTTACACACTGAGTGAAAAACGCAGACACAGGAGAATTTGTCTTATAATATACAAGACGCACTGAACTAAGAGTGGGTGGGTGGCAAATGTCTCCTGGCACTTTCCATGAAGAGGTTACAAAAAAGGTTTTAAACTCAATTTTTATTTATTTATTTATTATTATTTAAATTTTTTATGGTCATGCCTAACCATAGGAATATGTTTTCTGTCCACCATAGGAGGTCAAACAAAGTGTTTTTGTATTTCATTATTTTTGCCTTAATATAGTTGACATGTCAATACAGTTGAATGATTCAACCCCGATTCCATTGTTTTGTTTTTTAGAAACAAACATGAAATAAACATTAAAAATATATAAGAATAAATGGTAACAGTGTTGAAATTTTTACCTAAATTGAGCTGTCATTCTGTAGGATGAGATAGTTTGGGGACCAAACGTTGGATTGTAATTATTAATAATTTACATTTCCAATAAAATGAGGAAAAATATTCATGACGTCTTTGACAATCGAGACACCAATTTCTACTTTATTCATGGAAAATGGCTTATATCTTTAAAGGTTTTCCATCAACACCCATTTCCAAAAAACATCCAGTTTTACGATACTTCCGGAGAATGACTTACCTTCACACTTTTCCAGGATATGAACCGTTTCTCCAAGCTCTAGAGTCAGACCATGTGACACTGATCCGCGGAAACCACAGACCACTGGGAAAAGAGAAAAGAAAAACTAGTTAGAGGCGTATTAAAAAGAGTTCGGAGAGAATGCATTCGAAATAAACCACAAAACAGAATGAAACGATTTCCCAAAACACTCCCCCTGTCTACCATTGGTCAGAAAGCCCCGCCCCCAACTCATGCTATTGGCAGAGTCTGTGTTGCCGTGTCAGGCTGGTTGTACTGATCAAAAAACTGAAATTTGTTTATTGTGCCACGGAGACAGAATTTTGTCAGAATTTTGAGTTTACATCACGCAATTCTGACTTTATAACTCGCAATCTCACAATTCTGTGAAAAAAAAAGTCAGAATTGTGAGATAAAAAGTCGCAATAACCTTTTTAATTAGTTTTTATTCAGGGGCGGAAACGGGCTTCCATAGCATATTAACAAAATATACAAAAGCAAAAAGAACAATAACAAAATATAATATTGCGAGGGAACTTCACAATTAAAACACATCAGTAAATTCAACAGAATAGAGGTGAATTTGCTGTTGTTCAGGGATAAGCCAAAGATAAAGACAAAGCTGCTATTATATTCAGGTCATCTGTAGTCCATGCTTTTGCTGCTGGGTTCAGTAGAACAAAATGGGTCTGTTTGCTTCTTTGTTTTTTTGGGCCACATTGTTTTCTTCCTTGGTAAGTACAAACCCAATTCCAAAAAAGTTGGGACACTGTACAAATTGTGAGTAAAAAACCTCCAAAATATAGTTACTATACTGTTATTATTACTCCAGTAACACTGTGATAACTTAGTATCAGCCACCACTGTCATAAAGGGTTTAATAAACAAAATACAAACATTTTAAAAGTTTTAATTAAAATTTTCACTCAAAATGTTATGCTGATAACATAATTTATAATTGTCATATAATATGTTATTTGTAATAATGATTCAGTAGCACAGTATATGGCACCATGGTGCCTCCACAGTGCAAATGGGTAGAGCAGCGCAGTGGAAATAATAGGATTTATTTTCAATGAATGCATTCCAGAATAGCAAAAACGGACACGTGAGGGTTTAAAAGCAGATATATTCTGAATTGCCATGGTAACCTGGACAGAGCATCCCAGGGAATTATCGAATCCATGCTGATGAAAAAGCTCATGCGCCTGAGAGCCTGGCTGATTCCAGTTTTCCAAGAGCAGATATTTTTCCATAACCATTGCGACATGGGCATCACATGGGAAAAGTCAACATGACATCAGAAATTACTTTCTTAAAACATATTCCTGGTCTCACTGTGCGCACTATTTATGTGGAAAAAAATACAACAATTTGCTCTTACTCTGAAACGACTTTCCTTTTCCGATGACATCACTAAGGCCATGCTGACTATTATCCAAAGCTTTTCAAGTTCTGGCTCCATATCACCCAGTTTTAACAATCCAATCCATTCCAGATGGATAAAATGAAGTCTTGTTCTGCATTTCTTATTGATTATCCCATTTCACTCAAGAAATGCATCACATTACAGAAGCAAACTTGCAAATGGCTTTTCATATTAACTTTAAGAGCCAAAAATTGAGCATAAACGTGTATGTGTGTAAAATAGAGATGCCTCTGAAGAGATATTTTTGAACAAAGCACATTCCTAAAATAAACCCCCTCCTTAGTCCACATGTAAATGCAGTTTATTCAGTCAAAATGTCCCCCAAACTGGAAAATAAGCCATCCGTTGGCCATTTCATTAGATAAGGATGAGATTATAATGCTCAGACAGGCAGACCAGCTGAAATACCCAGAACAAAGCTGAGTAATTTCTCTGAATCCATCTGTATTTGTGCAACATGATCCTGTCTAGCTTGTTTTGCTGCTGTACACAGACATCTGATGGGGCCAAATTGATATCCATGTCTGCTCTTTCCAACATCTCCTCAAGAAACAAACTGTTCACGGTGTTACGTTGGAACCGGCTACATCGCTGCTCCAGGAAACAATTGAAGCATCCATGATTTATTTGGAACCGACAATGATTTAGATGACAAATATGATATTGCATGTTGCATACATTTATTTGTATACCATATTCCTTACTCAGACAGAACTACTTTGCCTGAGGAGCTGAATTAGTGTTTCACAGATTCTGAATGGTTCTCAATCTGAAAGGAGATACTGTATTCGTTATACAACAGTAGCTACAATTGCTTTTCTATGCAAAATAAACTTTTTAGGAACTAAAAAAATTAAATACCCTGTTAATTAAATATCTGAGTAAACACTTGTCGATTTGGACTGAAGGAAATCAGCATCCGAAAGCAACAATGGATTACATTATCTTAATGGTGTTGTTCTCAAGACACCAAAATATCAGCATTAACAATTAGACACTGAGTGAACTTAGTGTCTTTCAGGATTTGTCATGTTCATTTACCCATTTCTGATGAAATTGTACCGTTTGTTATTTATTTTCAAAGATCACGGTTTAATATTTAATGCTTGTTGGGAGGCTCCTTCTGCAGTTTCCAAAAAACATGTGACTGCCGCCAGAGGTCTGCATTTAGTAAATAATTCAGTAGCTATTAAAAGAGCGTTTCATGAGTTAATCCCACTAAAAGACTGAACGACATAAACAATATGTGTCTTGAATATGGAAGACTATTAATGGCATCAGAAATGGCATTGTGATGGCCCTAATGCTGTAAAACAAACAAAAAATGCTGGTCAGTTAATATGTAGGTCGCCAAGATGTCTGTAATAGAGCACATCATGCAGAACGCATCTTAAAAATAGTGAAAACATCTATAACACAAAAACAAACTCCCCAAAAACACACACACTGAATATACCGTGGTAAACATAGTAATTTACTATATAAACAGGGTTGGGAAGGTTACTTTTAAAATGCATTTCACTACAGATTACAAAATGCATGCTTTAAAAAGTATTTTGTAACACATTAGATTACTCGAGTTTAGTAACTTAATCTAAATACTTTGGAATACTTAAGGTACGGGGCATATTAACTTTGATGTCTTGTTTTTATGTTAACCACCTCTAAATAAAAATGGGTGACATGAATGCATTTAAAGCAATTATAAATATAAATTTTTTTTTTTTAAATATGAAACTAAAACTGCCAGTAGGTGGTCTTAATGAATGAGTCATGGATTTATTCTATTCGATCAAAAGGACTGATTCATTAAGTATTGAATCAAGTGATTTTATGAATGTAATTGAATCATTCCCTCAGCGGATTCGTTCAAAATGCGGATTCATTCAGGAACCAGACAGCACTAGGTTGTCACAGATGCGCAACTCTTCTGCTGTGTATTTAATTGCAAGGCAGTAGTTATTTGCATTAAGTGATAGATGCTACTTAAAGTTAGTGTAAATAGACACTCCGTATTGGAACTATATTTGTTGGCGATATAGAGCAAATCAGACAATACTGTTCTTTAATGTAAGTCACTTAATAACTTCTTGTTTTTCAATTGCATAAAATCAGTATCACAAATGCTGTCAGAATCACCAGTTGCCTCACTGGTAATTTTTTTTGTACATTAAATTAAATAAATTACATTTAAATTCAACCTAATCACTTTGGTAATCTAAAATACTTTTCAGATGTAACTATAATTTGTTTACCACCCATTTAAAATGTAACAATATAACGAAATGCAGTTACTCATATTTTGTATTTTAAATACGTAATGTTACATGTATTTCGTTACATCCTTATTTGACATATTAGCTACTAGCCTAACAAATGCTAACTTGTTACACAACAAAAATAAACACTTAACATCCAAAAACAGGCATTACAACATTATCATTTAGTATAACTGTTTTTTGTGACATATTTAACAACTAGGCTAACCAATGCAAACTTGCTACACAATAGAAATGGATTCTAAATATCCAAAAATAGGAATTACAACATGGTCATTTAATATATAAACAACCCATATGTGTACAGCTGCTAGGCTAAAAATGCTAACTTGCAACAAAACAGAAATAACCATGTTGTAATGCCTATTTTAGGATGTGACCTACACATCTGCTACCCTGATAGCACAAGCACATCACGGAGACATCTATATGACGTCTGCATTTACATCTGCAAGACGTATTTTTTACTGAGTGTTCATCTGCAGTATGTCTACAGGACATTTCCTATCAGATGCCAAATAGACGTTTAGAAAATGTCTATTTGATGTTTATGATTTAGAATTAGGGATGCACCGATACCGATACTGGTATAGGTATCGGGCCCGATACTGGTCTCCTGTACTCGTACTCGTACTCGTTAAAATGTCCCGATACCAAACGCCGATACCACACAGCATGTGATAAGCGCCATATTCAAACAAAGAAACACCGACAACAGAACAACAGACAGCAGAAAGGAGTTAAGGATGTCTACTACGAAGTATATGTATGCAATGAATATAACATTAAACATTCAGTATTAACGCCTGTATAGCTGAAGTGCGCGAGCTGATAAAAAAAGCACGCTGAGTGGATTGAGCGCGCGGCGGCGCAGATGCGCGAGCTTGTCGAGTGAATATACCTTTCTCACAGACATCACTGGAAAGTTTGTAGTTCAGTCGGATATGTCAAATATTTAAAACATTTACAAATGCAATAAAAATATTGGTATCGGTACTCGGTATCGACAAGTACCAAAAATAAAAGTATCGGTATCGGTACTGGAAAAAGTGGTATCGGTGCATCCCTATTTAGAATGAATGTAAAACTGACATCTTAGAGATGTCTATCAGATGTTTGTACATAGCAGATGCAGACCTACATGTGCTAACTGGGTAGGCTAGTTCACGCTAACTTGCAACACGACAAATACTTTAACAGTTGGGTGTCAACTGTTTTATAACGAATCTTTAGCAGAAATATTAATAAACAGAAATATTTTATTAACACAAGAGAGACAAATATGGCACATCCTGAGAGGAAGTTACATTTTAATTAAGGCAAATAGCTTGTCAAATTAGCATTTTATGTGGTGCCTGCTAGCAAAATGAGTCGAA